CATTTATTCATTAATTAAACTGCTAGACAATAATTTCCGGCAACTATTCAATTTAAGTTTGCATCTACTACTGTTCCATTCATTAGCATTAGTGAATACGCACTAAAATTAAAATTACTGTTGTCATGCAGTGGCAAGCACGTTCATACTGTTGATCCGCCATTTCCTGTTGTTTCTGGTCTGTTATGTTTCAAGTACAGGACTCTTCACTTGATCTGGCAAACAGATGCCATTCAAATGCTGTGTTTAGTTAATTTTGGCTTTGTTAGTATTTTCAATTACTCGGCACACTGAGCTTAGCTTTTTTCATTAACTCACATTTTTAGTTTGGCAGTTTGATTGTAATTTGATATATAAAGGCTAATTTTTATGTGATGCAAATGTAATTGAAGTACCCCTTTGCATCGAAACAAAATAGTATTAACAATTTGTTAATTAATGACAAATTGATTTAATTTTTTAATATTATGTTCACTTTAAAAACTAATTTTATATTTTGGTTGACAATGAACTATTTTAAAATGTTGTTTTATCATTTTTTAAATCAACGTATTTTAATGTCAAATATTTTTGTCAAATCAAATGCCAATACACAGGCAACAATGCGCATTTGGATTGTCTAGAAGAAACCTTTTAATTTCAATTACTGTATCAGTTCAAACACAGTACAAAGGCAAACTCGTGCACTACTGTGTACCACTATAGTTTGCCTGAAATCCATTCTTCAAAGAAGCTAATAATAGATCAGAACTAAACAAAAAGAAGAGCAAATGTCCAGTAGTTACCAGAAAACCTCCAAGTGCCAAAAGCACATTTTATCATTCAGACAAGCACGCGCTACCATTTGGGAAAATGGACAAAAAAATAAAACAAAACGTTTTAAATAAAATGTACTTTTATCGTAAGCTATCCTTTTTGCACAGTAGTAGCTTGCTTGCTGTTAGTAGCAAATTACTAGCATGATTTAAAGCGACCATTTGTTGCTAGGTATAATTGGAACTTTTTCGTCACCTTGAATGCAATTAAATCATATTTTTATAGTGCGCCATTGTTCAATGTGCTAACTGCTAGTATTGATAAAGTAAACATAGCTCGCTTTAGAATGTTTGTTATTTTAATGTTTTTTGTTACTTCATAGTTTCATTAAAGGTGTCTACGACGTAGCTTGGAAGCACAGTAACCAGCAACTGGTGTGGTAACCGTGTGCTCTACCAGCTTGTTGGCAAGTGTGTGTGTGTTACTATCAAAAAATCGTCGATGAATCATCACCGATCACTGCACTCACACACACAAAGATGCACTTCAGTAGGATAATTGAAGTTGTACGATTGTTTATACAACACCGTACGCTGCCTTCATGTTTGCACCTCTCTTTTTTTCTGTCTCGGTGTGTCTCGGTGTGCGCCTGCCGTGGCCAGTCTGTCTGCCAAAAGCGAAAGGCAATGAAGACATTGAAAGAAACGGCTGAAACGGCGTTGTCTCTGGTGCTCTCTGGATGGTGAACTAAGGCCAAACACACACACACACACATTAACACATTAGCACACACACACTCACACATTAAACCCAGAGCAACTTTTACTTTTGAGTGATATGAAAATTGTAGCTAATTATAGACTCTAATTAGAATGTATCATCTTTTAATTGGCCCTCGTAGAGTGGCGACGTGTGTGAGGTGTTGATGATGATGCTGCTGCAGTTGCTGTTGCTTTGATCAACGGTTTCATGTGCAATGGTGTCGATTGCAGCAACAGCAGACCAAGTGCTCTTGTCAATCACTCGGTGTGCCTGTTTGTGTGTTCACTGCACATTTGATCACACAAACACTGTACCTCCTACTCCTCCTCCTCCTAGGATCACGCACTTTCCGCACGTGCAAGTAACTGACTGTACACACTGTACACTGATGGTAGTCCCTTTTGTCCTGTAAGAAGTGTGTCACTTGACACCCCTAACGGGCCATCTTCAGTGCTGGCTCAGGCATCTCAGATAGAAAGTAGCTTGGCTGCATTTAAGCATTCTCTTGACATTGGCTGAACTAAGCTGTTGTCGAAAACTTTTTGATTAAAATTTAAATAAGATGTTTAATTTATAAGTCAGACGCAAAAACAGTTGCAAAAACAAAAAATTTAAAGTAATCAACATTTATTTTTTAAATTAATTTGATTTATAATTAAAAAGTGAATGTTACAATTTCTTATTAAGTGATTACACTTAAAAATTTTGTGCAATGTTTTAAGAAATTTTAAATTGTTCAGTTTGCAAACATGTTTTTTGCATTTTTAATTGGGAATTTCTTCTACTCAGCTGGTCTGAACGTTTATAATTTTTATTTTTGATTAAATTGCATAATTACAGTTTGTTTGATTTCTGCTTGCGCAACAATGCTGGCTCAAAAGCAGTACGGCAGTTAAAATGATGGCTTTTTGCCCCTTTTCATTTACTCTTCTTTTTACTCTTTTTCTACTTTTCATCAAACAGAGCAAACCTACGAGCTGCATCTACGATGGATAAAGCATAAACAAATCGTTAACAAAAGAATCGTTGCTGTTGCTACAGCTACTGCAGTTTAAGAACCCATTTTGCGGTGTGCTTTGCGTTATTTGTGCTTCAGTTATGAGTGGTGTCGTTTCACTTTCTTCTTAAATTATTCATTGCTGAGATAAATTTGAGAAGCGGCTAACAACCAAGTTTTTAATTTGAATATCTTTGTCAATGTCATAGTTTACAATTTTAATACTTGTTTTTTGCAAAATTTTAAATAATTTTCTTCTCTCTAACAGCACATTTTTATTGGTAATTATATTACATTTGTTTCTTTACTGCAATATGTTTTTGTTTTTGCCTAGACAATTTGCATTTTGACATTAAATTTGCATGTTTTAACTTAAAAAAATATAAAATTTTTGTTACTAAATGTTGCAAAATTATCTTATTTTAAACAAATATTTGTTAGCGCAAACTTAATTGATTTTTAATTAAGACAAATTTTCTTTTTTACTGTAATATTTTTTTATTTGCATTTTAAATAAATGTTAACTGATTGCATTAGAATGTATGCAAAATATTACTGCTAATTAGAGTGATAGTTTGATGCTGGATCAATAGTAGACATTTTTCCAATTGTTTAAAACATTGTTTTGCTACATTTTCTAACTAAAAACCCGTAATTGCCTCCAGTGACAAATGACAGACAATATACATTGGACAATAGTTAATGAAAAACAACGTCAGTTAAAAAGCGTAAAGCTTCGTTAGTTAATAAAGCAAACGACAAGGTCAGTACAGCATCAATCAAGAGTAGAGGAGGACGGCAGATTCTGTTCCCTGTTTTTCGTCAACACACACTCACACTGTTGCTTTCATCATTGGCCTTGTCGGTTCTGGTGTGCCACAAAATGTCTACTCCTCAATTCAGGTTCTCCACCACCTGCATTACATCACGATCATTATTCTACACTGATCACATTATCAATCTCCCCACTTTCCCTTTTCTTTTCGTCATTGACAATTGTCATCATCAGCGCAGAGTGCTGTACTGCTGGTGAGCTCCCACAGCTTCTGCTGTGGTTGCTGTTGTTGTTGTTAGTGTTGTGGATGCCACAACAAGTGATAGTATGTTTGCTTTGTGTGATGCCATCGGCTTCCTTTTCTCCATCACGGCGTTCAGTTGCGGCGGTAGAGGTGGTGGTGGTGGACAGGTTCCCCAGGGCAACCGCAGTTATCTAGTACCGAGAAAGTGCCGCGCGGCTGTTGCCGCTACAGCAGAAGTGTCTACATTTCCCAGACACACACACACACACACACATTTACACACCGTACACTGTCTCACCGTTGCTGCTGCTGCTGCGGCTGGCCAACGGCAACAGTCGTACAGAGGGAGAAAAGCTGGGAATGGAGAGAATGAAAGGGAAAACAGTCAGTCAGTCAGTGGTTAACTACTAACCAGCGGCTGCCAATCAGTCTGCAAATCAACATTAGCATCAGTACCATCACTCCCTCTCTCTCTCTCTCTCTCTCTCTCTCTCTCTCTCTTTCTGTCATTTTGTCCCTTCCTCCCCCTTAAATTTTGAGGTACGATTTGTGGCAGCATCAGTTTCAGTCAGTTCCAATTAGACTTTTCTTGAAATCGCACATCGCTATTTTTCACTGCCTATCTGGTTTAGTTGTGAAACTTCAGCTGTCCTACCAGCACCACCACTTTCCCAACTGAACTGTACAGTTCACAGCTTTGTAGGCTGTCCTTGACCTTGACCTATCATCATCAGTAACATCCATCTGTTATTTGCTTTTTGACATCACTAGCCGCTAGCATATTCCAAGAAAAAGTTCACATCTAAAACACAGCAAAACATTTAACTAGCAGAACCAGTACTCTAGTTGACAGCTAAGATTTGCACTTTTGCCTGACCACATTTGGGGCTAGACAGTTAGATAGACCAGCCATATAGTGTCCTGTCTGCACTTGACAGTGACTCAAAGTGCACCACCGTCTGCTGGTGACCAGATTCATCTGCAGCATCTACACGTACACAGCAGCCCTCCGCTTCATACACCTCAGCTACCAACCACCCAACCAACTACCCAACCAACAAGCTAACTAATCCGCCAGCACTCTCTCTCACTCTACTTATTCCTCTCTTTCTCCATCTCTCTCTCTCTCTCTCACACATTCCCTTTCCATTCTTTTTCTTCTTTTTTCTTTCTCTCTCTCTCCCTTTTACCGCAGATCGGTGGNTCCCTTCTTTTTCTTCTTTTTTCTTTCTCTCTCTCTCTCCCTTTTACCGCAGATCGGTGGTACGATTTGATTAGTACGGGCGCCACTCTCCTCTCGCTCATTCGGCGCACACCTCTCGTTCGGAGCAGTTGTCAAACACTTGTTTGGTTTCAGTTCAGCTCGGTTCGGTTCGGTTCACTTGTTCTGCCCCCAGCTGGCCGCACACACTTCGGCCGCCACCATTGCACAGCAACGTGTTGCACTGCCGCACCAGTCCGGCAAGATGGTCAACATGCTCTCCTCCATCCGTAAGAAGCTGGTCATCGTGGGCGATGGAGCCTGCGGCAAGACCTGCCTTCTCATGGTCTTCTCCAAGGACCACTTTCCGGAGTTTTACGCGCCCACGGTCTTTGAGAACTACGTCGCAGACATTGAGGTGGACGGTCGTGCGGTAAGCAGCTGTTTTGTTGTTTCATTGTCATTTACCTAATTTGTCCTCATTTAAATTGTAGGTAGAGCTGGTTCTCTGGGACACTGCCGGTCAGGAGGACTACGATCGTCTGGTAAGGACTCATTAGTCTGCTCCTATTTAAATTTGAATGTGAGTATTAAATTGTATCAATCAATCTGCAGCGTCCTCTCTCCTACCCGGACTCCGACGTGCTGCTGATCACCTTCAGCATTGACGCCCCTGACTCGCTGTACAACATCACCCAGAAGTGGTGGCCCGAGGTGAAGCACTTCTGCCCGAACATTCCCATCGTTCTGGTGGGCAACAAGGTCGACCTGCGCACCGACCCGACGACGCTGGCCGAGCTGGCCAAGATGAAGCAGCTGCCGGTCAGTACGGAGCAGGGACTGGCCATGGCAGAGCGCATCGGCGCCTTCAAGTACCTCGAGTGCTCGGCAAAAACCAAGGAAGGCGTGCGTATCGTCTTCGAGACGGCCACTCGAGCCGCTCTGGCAGTCAAGCGATCCAAGCCCAAGGGCTTCTGTGCCATTCTCTAGGCACTCACACACACACACACACACAGGCTGGCTGGCTACCTTCTGCTAGGTCAGCCGACCTGGGTTCAGTCTATTTTCTTATTATTTGATTTGCCTCTTTTCAGAGCCCTTTCTATTCACTGACCATTGACACTGGTACATCCACAACACCCTTGCATCTCTCTCCCGTTCTCCTGTTCTCCTTTTCTTTCTTTTTCCCTCTCTCTTTCTCTCTCCTTCTTTCTCTTTTTCAGTGCAAGTTTTTTTCTTTCTCAAAATATTTTTCCTTACTGGCCAAGTACACGCACCGTACATAAACAGACCAGACAGACACCCAGACAGACAGAGACGGACACATCTGATCACAAAAACAAACAAACAAACAAGCCAGTACTGGCCCTTGGCAATTATTGCACACGCAATTTCAGACAGAAAAACACATCTTTTCAGAGAATTGGCTTGTTTGTTTGGCTTGTTATTTTCCTTTTCCTTCTTATCCTTCTTCTCCTGTTTTTTCTTCTTTTGTTAATTAGTGCGCACCTGCTCCTGCAATCTGGCTATCAACTCAGAGCAATTGGTTATTTTTATTTGCAGGTTCTCTGAATCGTCGGCGGAGGGTGCCGCTGTCAAGCTCTGAAAAAAATTTGTTGTTTGAGGAAAACAGTCCACCTTTCTGCTGCTTTTATACTGCGATAACAGTACGCTTTTTAGCGCAAAAACGACCAAAAGGTGGACGAATTTTACTTATTNTTTTACTTATTTTCTGTTGATTTTCATTGAACAAAAAATCTGTCTAACATTAAGTTCCGTCAATTGGCACTTGATGGGTGCTTTTTGGCAAAAAAGATAACAGTTAAAATGACCAGATTGATTGTAGATTCCTAACTAACTTCTTAA